CCAAGGTATTTAATTTTGTAGGATACAAATCTAACTTTCTTTAAAATATAATTGACATGGATGTCCCATCGTAAGTGAGGATCCAAGACCACTCCAAGGTATTTTATGTTGGGCACTCTATTAATTTGTATTTTTTGATCATTAATATTGAAGGAGAAATTTGTGTAATTTGGCAGATGTCTAGCATAAGATCCAAATGGTAAAAAATGTGTTTTAGAGTAGTTAATGCTTAATCTTCTACTGTTAAACCACCGAATAATTTTGATAAAATCATTTTCAATTACATTTTTCAGATCAGACCAGTCAGTGCCTTCATATAATATTGCAGTATCATCTGCAAAACTAGTTATTTTGCCAACACAATTAATTTGGAAAATATCATTTAAATATATATTGAATAACAGCGGACCTAAGACAGTTCCTTGTGGGACACCACACTCAATATACATTTCTTTACTAAATGATCCTGATATCTGCACAGATTGTGGGCGATTTGACAAATAACTTTCGATCAGTGAGTATGCGTTTCCTCTGAAACCAATTCTCTCCAATGCTACTAATAATAATTTGTGATTAACTGTGCCGAAAGCTTTCTTTAAATCAACAAAAATGCAGATTGAAGGGATTCTGTTATCAATATTTTGATGTATTTGATTTACAATTTTAGTTATTGCGTCCGATGTAGCCTTCCCTTCTGTAAATCCATATTGATTTTCACTTAAAATTTTGAATTTTGTGAGGTATCGAATCATTCTAGTAGATAAAACTTTTTCAAAAACCTTTGCTACACTGGATATTATTGATATTGGTCTATAGTTGTTAACATCTGTTTTTGTTCCTGATTTATGTATCGGTATTATATTACCTTTTTTTAAAATTGAGGGATATATGCCAGATTCAAAGCATTTGTTGATTAGGTAAGTGAGTGGTTCTGTTATGTCCTCGGCTATAATTTTCAAATGCTCGCTTTTAATACCATCGAACCCAGGACTTTTCCGATTTTTTAAGGACATAACAGTGGTGTATACTTCACATTGCTCGACTTTATCCAAAATAATGAGTTCAAAGTTCTTTTTGGAGGCTGAGTATTTTGTACATTTGCTTGTATATTACTTGCTAAATTTTCGCCTATGTCAGTAAAGAATTGTACAAATTCATCTCATATCTGTTGAGTATTTTTTAATACTGTTCCCGATGTTGTATTTAACTCAGTGACACACTCTTTAAATTTTGTTTTTCCAGTAATCTCATCAATAGTTGTCCAAAGCCGCTTAGGATCATTTAAGTTATTATTCAATTTATTTAGGTAATGTTTTCGTTTGGTTTGCCTTACAAGCTCAAATTTATTATCAAATTTATTTTTATATTGGTTGTAGCAGTCGGTATTCTCTGTAGTTGGCGTTAGTTTCATTATATATAGTCTTTCTTTTTCTATTGCCGATGTTATTAATCCTTTGGTAATCCAGGCATTTCTGCTTTTCTCTTTGTGACTAATTATTACTTTATTGGTACTAATATCTATTAGTTTTTTTATTTTCTCTATGAACAGTCCCGTTGCTTTGTCTATATATTTATAGAGTATAATTGTTCCCAGGATTCTTGTTTGACATTTGATATTAGTTTTGAATTGTCGACAAAAAATTTGTAATTTTCCTGGTTGTTATTAACGGTAAGGATGTTAGAATGTTTTTCATTTGAAGATATCAGTAAAATAGTGGAGAAGTGGTCAGTAATATCGCTTTCTAGGATTATTGGTATACAAGTAATTTTGTTGGATAGGTCTTTCATAAAGCAGTGATCTATACATGTGCCACTGATGGACCTTGTAGGTAGGTTTATATAGGACAGAAATTCGTTACTTGATAGGATATTCAAGTATTCATTTGTGATGGGATTATCGTCCAAAATATTTATATTGACATCTAATATTAATAAAATGTTGAAAAGCTAGAAACGTTTTAAAATTACGCTTTTTAATGTATCATTTTCTTTGTTTACTAACTTATTTGATAAAAAATGCAATTTTCAGTAAAAAATCTCCTAGTAATAAAATGAGCAAGTTATGTAAATAATATCTCTATCTAACAAGCGTTCAATTATCTGAAGTACATGCAGAGAAACAACATTTCTGTCCTAAACACTTTATTTCTTTTGTTTTTGCCTAAATGTTAGCTATGTTGCAATAGAAATATGTATTTATGTAATATTACCAATTATTAAATTAGTTTTTTCGTTGCCATGGCTGATTATTTACCATTCATTTAAATTCGCAGTACATTTCCTATCATGTGACAAATTTTTTAGTTGATTTAATTCAAAAATGGCACCATTTATCCATATTAAATAAGAGTACCTTTTATGTAGAAAACCCTAAATTTTCAAATTCGAAAATTGAATTTCAAAATATAATCACACAAAAAATTTTGGGGCTAAAATAACCTGAGTCCGTCTCTTATTGGCAACCTTCATATTATGGCGAAGTTTAGCTTGATTGCTACTCTTCCACTTAACCATAATAGGACAAACGTCAAAATTTATACAAGGAACATAATACAATAGAATATAAAACAATTACGAACAATGACGAGATTATACCATGCTAGCCAAGCATGCCAGAAAGCAAATATCGACATGACATTAGAAGTCAACCAAATTGAAAATATTCATTTAACAAATCCCAAAAATAAAAATAAAATAAATTAAAAACTCAAACATTGAGAGATGATTGTATCTCTAATAGCTGTTTCTAACTGATTTTTAAAGAGAGTAACTTTCTTGTTTGTTAGCCGCACTGACTGAATTGTAAAGCCGAACGGCATTATACGTGAAAGACCTCTGATATAATGAGGTGTAGTGAAGAGGAATATTGAACTGTTCATCATGACGTAACCTCCTTGAAATTAAATTCCTACGCGGAACTAACTTATATGCAAGGTAAATAGGTCTCTTGGTAACGACTGTTTTATGTACAAAACCAACATATGAAACTTGAAAGATTATTGAGCTTCAGCTACCCCAGCTCACAGATCTTGGATGTAACATGGCTGTACCTACGAAGGCCGAAAACAAAACGACAACACAATTTTGAATTTTCTGCAATCTGGTTTTGTTATGGAGTCAAGACAAGGATAAAACAGTATAAAACAGTAAAGCAGCTTAGATATAACTAAAACTTTCCACCAATTTCTTTCTAGTCTTGAAATTGAGAATATAACGATTGGAGTATAAGGAGTCTTAGGCTTGCATATGTAGCTTTAGATATATTACTGACGTGGTGATGAAATCTAAGATTTACGTCTAAAGTAGCACCTAGACTTTTTGCATGCGTGACGAGTGGAATATGGTCATTATTTACCCTCAAATCAATCATCCTTTCAAATGCTCATAGCTGGTTTTGGGACAGAACAACACCTCAAAACTCTTGGTAGGATTGAGCTTCAAACAGTTAGCCTTGCAATAGTCAGTTATATTTACCAGATCTAAATTTATTTTATACGAAGCTTGATCCACATTAGTAGAGTCAAAAGTGAAGGTCAATTGTGTATCGTCTGCGTAAGTATGAATACTACAAAACTGTAATACAGTATGCAAGTCAAAAGTATAAACTAAATATAGTAAAGGACCAAGCACGGAACCCTGAGGAACACCAGGAGCAACATCGGCACTAAGAGAAAACTCCTTGGCTTGTAGGACCGTAGCGCCCTTAGGGGACGTTTGTCGACCTATGCTTATATAAACTTTTCTACCTATTTTAAGCTCTAGAAACCGCTGGTAGAATATTGCACACTTTTTTCGGGACACCATGTGAATGACGTGTACATCATGGAAAACCATGTATCTTATTTCCGTCGGTCTATCTGTCTGTCTGTTCGTCAATCCTTGACTATACTATAATTTGAAAGGTACCGGTCGGATTGTAAGGAAATTTTTACATAAGCCTACCACTATGCCAATAACGAAAAGGTTTTTGAAAATCGGCACTGTGATAAGTTGTAGGGCAGGGTATGTCTTAATTTTTTGACGTCGGTATACTTATACGCGTCCAACCGCGGTAATTCTACGCACCCTTCAGACATACTATATTTCACTCATGCAATGCAAATACGTATTTAAGATGCATTTCAGTATTATCTAATAACAAACCTTATTTTACCTAGTGACGCTAGTAATAGTTTGCTGCACCGCATGTCCAAGCATATATATTGCAAAATATAGGATTACAACATGAACACTGCATTTGAGAAACTATAATGATGCTATTAAATTCCTCAGATGTTTAATTAAAGGGGGTTGCAGCAGGAACAGCAGGAGTTGCATTGTTCGAGGAAAGCAAAATTAACCGTAGCTTTCATATCGTACGAAGTAATAAGTTTGATGCATGCGGTGAATTCCTGCAACGCAATGGTGAACATCAATTATGGACAAAAGTAACAACAAAGCGCCCATCTCGAACAGAAGGAAAAGGCATCTAAGGTTGGACCAAGCAGTGAGTCACGTACTGCGAGGCTTGCATGAACTTTGTTTTGGCGATATGTGACTAAGGCCCGTATCGTCAGTCGTCCCTACAATTGTAGCGCGCCTTTATGGCCTCCTTGATTGTCATAGTTACTTCTCCGTGTCAGCGCTCTATTTTGAGGTTATGTCACAAACATCTATTTGCATCAAATTGTGCTTGCTTTTGAGTTATATCATGTTTTATCAGCCTGAAATTTCCTATAATTTAAAAAAAAACATATATTTACAATAGGAGAGCGCTGACGCTGACACGGGACAAGTGTAATCTAGAAATTTTTGAAGGAGAGAAAGGAGTATGACAATCAAGGAGGCCATAAACGCGCCCTACAATTGTAGGGATGACTGACGATACGGGCCTAAAGTGACAACAGGTAACAAACAATCGCTATCGATCAACAACATCCATGGCAATGTGCGATATAAAGCAACCACACGAACTTATTTGGTTACCTGATATATTTTTAAATCATTCACAAACAAGTATTATATTATTATGACTATTATTGTTATGCTGAATATGACTTTCTTATATGTTAAACAAGATTGTTCGTGTGAGGGTGGCTATAAAAGTTTCCCATTGGCTGAAGGAAAGCATGTTGCATTTCTAGCATACAACGATGCACATCAATTAGAAACAAAAATAACAACTGGAGGAGGAACGAGTAACAGAAGCAAAACGACAAAGCTCGTCGCATGCGGGTCTTTGTTCGGTTGCCAGTTCGGTTTTCTCAGCTGTATCTTCCTTTGGAAGTTCCTTAATTGGGGTAATCGAATGGTGCAGCGTATTGCATTCTAATTTCTTACGGTTGCGGCTTTTGCGTCGTTTTCAGCTAGAATACTTTATCTCGTATATGTTCGTTTGTGTCATATATGTTATAAAGAAACCTTGGTTTATCAGTAATTAGTCTCCCTTTCTCCTTGGTCGGCAATGAAAACCACACAGGATGAATTAATGAACACTGACAGTTTTGCTGCCTTATGCCAAAATAATGATAATGATAATAATAATAGACGTCTGTATTTATCTAAAATTACATAGTCAAACTTATATGGCGAAGTTTAGCATGCTGCTACTCTTACATTTAACCATACAGGTATAGTCGCCAACAGATGTTCACAATAATACGCTATCCACAAAAAGATTTGGTTAGCTACTTCGAAAGGAAAAACTAAAAAAGAAAAATGCATTCTTTCCAAGTCTACACGTACACCAAAATTATTAACCCCACTAACACATGGGATGAAAAAAGAAATTCTTGATTACGTAAATTATAATAATAATAATAATAATAAATGTCTTTATTAGCAACACAACAATAGGGCGAGGTTTAGCCAGTTGGATACTCTTACACTCAACCCTATTGTGTGAGGAAATATGTATGTACAATTCAAACTCACATGCATGTAACCTAAAAATAAATACATCGATCTGGCTTTCCAATATGTGAGCTAATAATAAAGGGGAAAAAATACAATCAATTGATAAATCCGCGCTATATTGGTTTACCAGAAAGGAAACAGTCAAGAACCAGTAATGAATGGATGACAACACAAAAAAAACAAAGATAATAACAACTAATTATGGTACATCTAACAGCTGATTTTTAACCAGCTTCCTGAATGTTACTACACTTTTGCTTCTCCAGCCAGGGTCGGTTGAGTCGTATAACATTTTAGAAACAATGCGGTGTAGTGCAGTGGCATTGTCAGATTATTATTATGCCTCAGATCTCTGAGATTAATGATTCCTCTAGTTACCAATTTACTATGGAGGTAGATGGTCTTTTTAGTACACAATATCTTATGCACAAATACCTTAAGACTATATTCAAATTGTTGATCCATTTTCAGCCATTTCAACTCCTTGATCTTAGAGCAGACATGACTATATTTTCGAAGACCATACACAAACCTACAACAGTTGTTTTGCATTCTTTGGATCCTACACCGATTCATCGAGTCAAGACAAGGATAGTATAAGGTTAAAGCGTAGTTGAGGCTGGACATTATCAAACTTTCAACTAGCTTCTTACGCGTTTTAAAGTTCAAAATGAATCTATCAGCATATAGCAGTCTTAATTTGATGTAGGTGGACTTCGATAGATGACACACATGTTTGTGAAATCTTAAACTAGAGTCGAACATGACACCAAGATTTTTTGCTTGTTCCACAATAGGACTGAGCTCGTTGTTGATACTCAATGCAATTTTGTCCCTTACTGTATTATACAAATGTTTGGGATAAAAAAGTATGCAAGTACTCTTATCCGGATTAATCTTCAGCATGTGTCTTTTACAAAAATCAGTGATGTTGGCAAGATCACAATTTATCTTATATGACACTTCATCCAGATGAGTCAAAATGAAAAGATAGCTGCGTATCATCCGCGTAAGTTTGTATAGGACATTGCTCAATACATGAATGTAAATCGAAAGTATATATCAAATACAGTAATGCACCTAAGACAGAGCCCTGAGGTACACCTGAAGAAACGGCAACAGAAGATGAGACACCTCTATCTGTCTTCACCTTTTGTTTACGATTAGTTAAGTAATTTCCAAAAAAATTAAGCGGAATGTCAGAAAGTCCAATATACTTTAACTTACTCAACAAAATTTTATGGTTAACAGTGTCGAACGCCTTAGAGAAGTCAATCAATCAATCAATTCTTTATTCATGTCACAATACATAAAATATGTTTACATACGTCAGTAGATCAAATGAGAATTGCATTAGAATTAAAACAAAGGGAGTGCTAATGATCATAAAAAATTACAAACAAGTACACCAGCACTCATAAAGATATAACGCTAACATAACATATTAAGATTTATAGTTAAAATTTATGTCTTAAAAACTCTTCAAACGTGTAAAATGAGTTATTAATAAGAATTTTCTTGATTTGAACTTTAAAATCTTTAAACGGAAGCGATTTTAAGCCGTCTGGAAGTACATTAAAAAATTTGACCGCCCAATAACCAGGTCCATCTTGACACCTTCTCAGTCGCCAATAAGAAGGTACTAGATTGTTCTTATGCCTAGTATTGTGCTCATGGACGTTTCCATGAGTTACATAGTTAGAGTTTCTTTTAACGAATAGTAGATTTTCAAAAATATATAAACAAGGCACAGTAAGGATTTCCAACTTGACAAAGGTATCTCTGCAATCGTCCCTGCAGCCCAGACGGCTCACAACCCTAACTGCTCTTCTTTGCAAGACGAACAGTCTATGGACCCGTGAAGAATGCCCCCAAGCCAGAATGGCATAGGATATATGTGAATGGCAAATGGCAAAGTAAGCCATTCTCAATATTTCTACAGAAACACAAGAAGACAAACTCCGTAGCACATATATACCTTTGGTGGCCTTTCCAGCAACACTGTCAATGTGAAGGCCCCATTGCAATCTTAGATCCAAAGTAACCCCCAGAAACTTGGCTTCATCAACCAAACCACTGTCTCCAGGCAGGCTTCGCATGGAGAACACCATTCTATTTGTCTTATCTTTATTTAGCAACAGCTTATTGGAGCAAAACCACAGCTCAGCCTCATCCTGCGCAGCCAGAGACTGTGCCATTGAGCGCTCAAAACTATTAGCGGTGTGAGAGACGGTCGTATCATCCGCGAAGAGAGTAAAGTTTGCCATATTGTTATTGAGAGGTAAATCATTTATGTAAATTAAAAAAAGAATTGGGCCCAAGATGGAGCCCTGTGGGACGCCAATATTAACACTTCGCTCCGCTGATGTCACTCCATCACATCTCACCACCTGAGTTCTATTACTAAGGTAAGACTCAATTAGTTTAATGGAATCATAACTAAAGTTGTAAGCAAGGAGCTTTTTTAAAAGGATGTCATGGCTCACACAATCAAATGCCTTACTAAGATCGCAGAAAAGAACCGTGTTATACCCTCCTCCATGGAAAGCATCAATTATAGAAGAAACCAGGTTAAGTACACCCATAACAGTGCTCTTACCCTGGCGAAAACCAAACTGATATTGTGAAAACAATTCATTTGCCTCAAAAAAGGTTACCAGTCTCAAAGCCATACATTTTTCAAAGATCTTAGAGATAACTGGAAGAAGGGATATAGGTCTGTAGTTCTCTGGTGAATCAACATTGCCGTTCTCAAAAATAGGTGTGACACTAGCTCTCTTTAGAACAGTTGGAAAAATATTTTCTCTAAGACAAATATTAATCAGTCGCGTTAGAGGGATCAAAATTATGTTATACATTTTACAATTTTTAAATTGAAACCAAAAATATCTTTACTGTTTTTATTTTTGAGATTATCTGTTACATCGCGAACCTCGTTAAATGTGACTTCAGAAAAAGAAAACAGAGGTGGCGGTACCAGGAAATCAATATTATTAACAGGATCTAAATGTACATCAGGGATGTGATTTACTATATTACCTGCTATATTACCAAAAAAATTATTAAAGTCATCAGGTGACAGGTCACTGCTCCCAGGGCACTTATTACTCTTACCTCTTTTTTTGTTAATGATATCCCACACGGTTTTAGCAGGATTACTTGAGCTCTTTACAAGGTTGTCATTAGCATTTATCTTAGCTTTTCTTATTTTATTTCTATATAGATTTTTGTAGTTTTTATAATACTGGTCACTCACAAAACCATACTGCCCTTTCAGCTCTCTCAAAATCCTTCAAATGTTCCCTCATTGCACTTAGTTCGGTATTAAACCAGGAAATATTATTGCCCTGGTCGGATCTTACCACATAAGTTTTCTTTGGAAAAGAGTATGTATAGGCTTCTTGAAGAATATCCATGAAGTGGCTAAACTTTTGTTCACCGCTGGTACTATCAACAGTAATGAAATCCCAAGATATCTCCGACAATCTACTGTGTAACATAAACAAACCTCTTTGTGTTACTGGTCTATACATTTTTTTATTTTGAATAAAACCTGTGGTTTCACAACCAAGAAATTTAACCAGCTGACCTTTATGATCTGATATTCCAATATCACATACCTGAGAGCCACACAGCTCCATCGCACTACTAAGGAAAACATTGTCAAGACAGGAGTCCCCACGAGTTGGTTCAAAGATTGTTCTTTCTAAGCCAAAGCTAGCTAGAAGGTCATACAATTTACTTGTATTAACATCTAATGTGTTGAAACTTACATTGAAATCCCCAGCAAGAATAATTTGCCTATTCCTACTCAATTGTGTTAATATTCCCTCCATTGATTCCAAGAAGGTATCAAAATTCCCCGAAGAAGATCTGTAAATAGTTAAAACATAAACATTCAGACTCTGACAATAAACCACACAGTACTCAATACATTTCTCAATATAAAAGGCAGGATTAATACTTATAACACATGAATTAAATTTATTTTTGGTAAAAATTGCAGTTCCTCCACCTGTGAAGTCCTTCCGTTCAGAAGACCCTCTCATCATGTATCCCTGCAAATGGACAACTTCCATTTCTTCTTTGGTCAACCAATGTTCTGTCAGGCACAGTACATCAATGTCCTCATCAACAAGAAAGGCTTCCAACTCATCTATTTTTCTTCTTAGAGATCTCACATTTATATGCAGAATCTTTACTTCCTGCTGTTTAGGTTTTCCTTTACCATATTTTGGCGCTGCAAGTTCCGAAAATGGTTTATTAGGATGCCCCTTGGCCACAGATCCGGACATAAATATTTATCAATGTCATCATGAGGAACAGTAAGTCGAAATGAGCTGCAGTACTTTCCTTTCTTGGTTTTCATTTTTTCGCAGGTGTATTCATTAAAGTTGTTTTCTTTCAGAAAATTTTTCACGCTTTCGCTAGTAACTTCTGGTGCCAGGCCAGATAAAAACAAAGATGATACTCTGGATGCTGGTCTAAGGCTGCATATATTTACATTGGAGCCTCTCAAAGGTTCAGGTCGACTGGATTTATCAACAGGTCTGTTTCTGACCGAGATTTTATTTGTATTTCGGTTTCTAACCTCTATCCATTTGTCTTCATCTTTCTCAGTCCGAGTAGCGATGGGCGCTGAATTCACGATGACAGGGGAGTTGGCCGCAGGCAGTGCGAAACTGTCGTCAACTGGTTCAGCACTAAGATTTTCCAGAATTACGATTTCGTTGTTTGCAACCACATTATGGATTTTGCGAGGTTCCTCGTTAGATGTCACTGAATCCGATGGATGTTTGGTATTTTCGTGTTGTTGGACCTTTTTATTTAGATAATCAACTCTATCTTCAAGGAAATGCACCTTTTCTCTCAAAAGTTGACTGTTTTCTTCCGCTATTCGATTTTTGCTTTGCAGTTCTTTCACCAGCGTTCTTAGAAGATCCAACTCCGTTGATTCTTCCCAGAGCAGCATGTTTACACTCTCTCTTCTAACCTTGCTTGATTCGTTCATACAATTGGTATTTTTCAACTCGCCTGCCTGCTCCAGACAAGCAGGATGAAAGGAGTTATTACACTTTTTGCACTTCACTACGTTCACAACTTTTTTTTTACAGTGTAGGCACAGTGTGACGTTCTTTTTTTCATTCTTTTTAAGAGACGAATTTTCAGACGAATTCTCACTTTCCGCCATCTTTGCAGATCATAACTAAAACTGTGTGTGTAATATGTTTATCCATATTATTTAAGATATTGTCTGTCAAATGGAGAAGTGAAGAGGTCCAATTCAACTGGTATATGTTTGGAGAGTTGGGTAATATTGTTTTAACTTTTTGTGGAAAGGTATGTAACGAAAACTCTTTATATACTCGTACTTTAATAAGGTCATTATAAATAATAGCATGGTAGTGAAAACTGCGATTAAAAATTGTAGACGTATGCTGGGGTATTCTAATATTCTTTCTTTTTGAGAGTTTTACAGTGAACATCATTAGATATTATGCAGGGTGATAGGTAAATAGGTGTAAAACATTTTAGGAGGTGATAGTAGAGCTCCTTTGGTATCAAAATTAGTATGTAATACCATACCCTATATTCAGAGGTTAAAAAGTTATGGAAAATTTAATTATTTTTTAAAAAACAACCCTTATTACAGAGTAAAATAGTTGAGATAAAAAAAAGTTGGTGATTAAACATTCTTCTTTTGGTGGTTTCAGGTTATTATTTAAATAAATAATTCTCATAAATTAAAAAACATATGAAAACACTACTGAAAACGTATTTATTTTCATTTAAATGTTAAATGAAAATTTTTATTTTCAACTTTCACATTAAGAAGTCTTTTTTTTCAAAAAAATCATAATAAAGAAAATGTACAAATAACTGCAAAAACTTTCTCATTTCATTAGGTTTCTAAAATGGTATAATAACATATCAGTAAGTAAACCATTTAAAAAAACAATATTACTTTGCTAGAAAGGACCGCTAAGCGCATTTCATTGTACTGAGCAGGTAAACCGAGCCTTTCATGGTTCGACCCTTTTTGTTATTTTTTGTGCCCTGTGCCGTTATTCGGGTTTAAGTATTCGGAATCTGTCGTCGCTCCTCGGAAGCAAGCTCTGCGTGTGTTATGAATTGACACAGCTGACGGATCAAGGAAAGGGAACTAACGCTTAGGTTAGTTAGTAGAATATCAACCTTTAACGCGGTAGGGCGTACTTTTACTTTTTTGATCGGTTTTAATAATGGCGAGTTACCGTAACGAAGAATACGCTGATATTCTGTTTTGTTATGGTTTAAGTGATGGAAATTTCGTTGAAGCCAGGCGAGAATACGAAAACCGTTTTCCGAATCGGCGAATACCGAGTCATCGAGTATTTGCTTCTGTGTACCAACGCGTCAAGGAAAGTGGACAGGTTCATGAGAGACGTCATGATGCTGGTAGACCTCGGTTGTTTGACGACGAAGATCGAGAGGCAATACTGGAATGCTACGGCGGAGACCCGACGACGTCTACACGAGTTATAGCAAAGCAGCTTGGTTTAACTCAGTGGAAAGTTTGGTTCGTTTTGCATTCGGCGAGACTTTACCCTTTCCATTACACACCGGTTCAAGTATTAGAAGAAGGAGATCCCGCAAGAAGAATTGATTTTTGTCGATACATGCTTCATCGGGATCAAGAAGAAAACGACTATTTAACTAAAATATTGTGGACCGACGAGTCTAAGTTTGAAAGAGAGGGGACAACAAATTATCACAACTTACATTATTGGGCCCCACGAGAGGCAAATCCTCACATGGCAAAGCCAAGAGCCCATCAAAGAAGATTTTCGGCAAACGTGTGGATGGGAATCATTCATACGTATCTAATTGGACCAGTTTTTTTGCCTGACAACCTGAATGGGAATCCTATGAAAACTTTTTGAGATCCGAACTCTGGGAGTATCTCGAAGACCTGCCTCTGAATATCAGGATGCAGATGATCTACCAACACGATGGCTATCCCGCGCATTTCCGTCTGGGTGTTAGATAGTGGCTGGATGAGAAACATCCTTGTCGCTGGATTGGCCGAGGTGGACCGACACCGTGGCCAGCGAGAAGCCCAGATTTAACACCGTGTGACTATTATTTATGGGGGCACATGAAGTCACTGGTGTACGCTGAGCCCATAGACACTCTTGCACAGTTGAAAGAAAGAATTATTGCTGCTGCTGACACTATCAGAGGACAACTAACTGGCCTCATCACGCGTACCAACATGAGAAAAAGACTACGGGCTTGCATAAGGAACGGCGGGCGTCAGTTCGAACAACAATTGCAATGAATTTTACCTTCATTTCATTATTGTATTTTACTTAACAATTGTAGTAACTTTTAGTCAGTTTTTATTATTCTGTAGTACAATTACAACTGTGTAAATGATCTAATCGTGTAACCGTAGTTTAAAATAATAACTATCCCATAGCTTACAGTTACATTATTTTCACAAAACACTTTCTTATCAATGAGAGAGTTGTGAAAATAGGAGACAAGCCATTGGTAAATATACTCCCTATTGTTGTATTACAATACATTATGTTTAGTTTCACACAGTTTTTGTGCACTTATCATACCAATTTAGATTCCTTATGAAACAAGGATATTATTTAAATTGTTTGTACGTTTTTTAATGTTTAATCAGTGTAGAATGTGGTATTTCGCTTATACATTATCAAATGTGTATAAGCCAAAGATGAAGCGTATAAAAATATTTGAAATTTCTAAACATGTGTAGTATACGATATTGCAATAATTTGGCATATATATATGACCAATGCTGCACATACGCAACTTAAAATTTAGTAAAGGGTACTTAGTCATAGGTAAGTTTTCTGTGAAAGACTTTTAACATGCTCGATAAACCTTAATTTTGTATCAAAGACAGCACTAAGAATTTTTGCAGAATCAGAAAATTGCAGGATTTGTTTATTTACCTGGATGTTCAAGAGCTGTGTTCCTTTTGGGCGCAAAATAATATCAGTTTAGTCTTTTGTGGATTAACAAGCAGATTATGATCTGAAGAGTACCTACTATTTAATTTACTAACATCGTTTTGTAAAACTTGGGTAGCATGATTTACATTAGGTATCTGGGTCAAAATAATGGAGCAACTTAACTTAAATCGAAAGTATAGATATACAGGGTATCCGTAAAGTTGGGGTTTTCCTTTTCAGAAACAACTACCCTTGAAATAACAAAGGTAATGTGTTGTGAAACGAGGGCAACCAAGTAAAAAAAATAAAGGAAAAAGTACTCACTCTCCAGTTGACGAGAAGGGCTAAGTACGTCTCTGCCCGAAATCATACCGCTCCAACAGAAAATGAAATCAGCTGATGCGCTACCGAGCAGACGCAGAAACCACATTGATTGTCTTACACTTAATGGCACATCTTCTAACAAGGAAGGCAAAATGTTGCGTAAAAAGTCTAGGTATTGCATCCCGTCCAATGGATTTGGGAGAATGAATGGTCCAATGAGCATACCGTTCACCATGCCAGCCCAAACATTCACCGAAAATGTTTGTTGGAAATGTGCCCGACGGACAGCGTGCGGATTTTCTACTGACCAAACATGAGTGTTGCGAAAGTTATTCACCCCATTACGCGTGAACGTAGATTCGTCTGTCACCAATATGCACTTCAAAAAGTCCGGATTATTGTCATGTTGATGCAACAACCACTCACAAAACCGCATTCTTGCTGGAAAATCATTAGGTTGAAGGGCTTGTACACGTTGGACGTGAAACGGCTACAGCCCCTCGTCACGCAGCGTTTGCCACACTTTAGTTTTTGATACTTGCACTTCTCTAGCCACGTCTCTAGTGCTTGCTGAGGGATTCTCGTCTACGCAATTAGCTCTACACGCGTGACCGTAACCGTCGGTTGAAGGTTGCATACTGACCTGACACACTGACCCCGACCCAGTTCTGTCGTCGGGTTGAGCCAGTGACCTTGTACCAGTCGGTGATGTCGCGGCTACAGGACGGTATTCAGATATTTTTGATGTTGCAGAGCCCTTTATCTCGGTTCCCTTAAGACATTTGTGTATATGGTACTAAGAAAAATTGCTTATGTTTTCAAGATCTACACGTCGTGTAAAGGAAAACCCCAACTTTGCGGACACCCTGTATGAGGAATAGCAGCGGCCCCAATACAGAGGTCTGAGGCACGCCTGAGGGAATCATTGTCACTGGAGACATTTTCTGGTTGACAAAAATGAAATGCGAAAATTTAAGAAATTTGGATAAACGTTTTTTGTTTTGCGATGTCTACAGCACCTAAATTCATGTGGGGGTCATAGCCGGTAACGCTACATAATTTTGAAGTGACTGCGGTGTTATGAATAAAAATCTTTATCTTTGTGGAGCGGTTACAATTTTTGAAAATTTGCTTTGATCGGTGCTGATTGTTTCAGGCTAGGACATTCAATATTCAACAACGTTATGGAGCTCAAACATTTTGTATTTTTAGCAAGACTTATTTTGACTCATGGAAAATTCAAAAAAGGCATAGGTCAATGCTTGAGAAGTACCGAATCAATCCATTTGACACTATTATTTCCGAAGCTTCTGAAGACGGTTCCAGGCTTGATAGTCAAAGTGGCCTCATAGAAAACATAAAATATTTGAATTACTTTTTATCTTAAAAAGCTTCTTGCAGCGTTGCAGTTGTAATCTAGAGGGTAAAAAGCGTTCGGCCAAGAAACTTGCGTTAGATTTTGAAAAACACTTGTTGCATTTTTTTTAGTACGTGAAGAGTACTGTGAGCTGGGAGCTCCGTGTCATTGATATGGCTGATATGGCGGTAGCTCCGCCTTTGGACGAGGACATGACCTAGTCTAATGAGCACTTGTGTCAATAACCACTCGGCATAATAGCTTAAATTGATAAATCGTCACTAGACAGACGGATTCATTGCCGCTGATGCAATTACGTAGTCATGATATCGCTCTTCCTATCGTTCAATCTTCTTGTCGTTATAGATCAGGATATGTAGAATTCCAGGTGGATGTAATCTATACGAGCTTTTCCAAGGCCTACTGTTGAGTGAACTTTGACATCTTACTTTCAGAAGACCCTGTAAGATGGTAAAAAAGCTTCCTCAAAGATACAGATTACAGGAGAAAGGAGTTGGCTCGCTAGCCTCAACGTTACCC